TGTGAAATAGTACATTGTAGAGAAACATATCAAATCATAATTCTTTACAATGGTGCTTCTTTACAGTGGTGAACCAGAGGTCACTATGTCTACAACACAAATATAGCTATTTTATTTACTATATAACCAGTGAGCCTACATCTGAAGAAATATGTTTTCTATGGGTATTATTTGCCTCACAACACCCTGCATGTACCACTTCACCATGAATGAATTTTAAAAATGTTTTGGCTAAAAGCTTATCTCCAAACTCTCATTTCTGTCACCACCTCTATGAATTCCGACTCTGCAAGCTTCTCCAGAATGGCACGTTTCATAGCCACGATCACTAGCAGCCCTAGAATTAAAACTTTTTTTAGTAAAATGAAAACAATTTGTTGAAGATACATGTCTAGAATGATTCTATTATGATGCCACAGCTCTACAATTTCATAAGTCATACAATGCTGTAAAAAATGAATAAATTTAATTTATGACCAAAATTATGAATGAAGCTGTAGATCAGTGGTTCCCAGCCTGGATGGACTGGAGTGGGAGCCACTGCAGTAGATGACTCTGACATAACTGAGAAAGCTGTGAAACATCGACAATGATTAGAATGCTTTATATTTGTGGTGATCACATATTGTATTGGAAAGGTGTTAAAAATGGTGATTACATCTTAAGAAATAACTATTAATAGATAATTCAGTATATTATTTACAGTATTAGAATAATATACTATTAGATACAGTATATTATTTATCACTTAATGAGCTCTTAATGTTACCTGAAAACTTGAAATACTGAATTAAACATCTCAAAAGACATGACGAGTGATTCCAAACTTTTGAATGCTAGTCACTGTACATACACAGACACTAGTTAAAAACTTTTTAAATATTCCAAACAAGTTTAAAAATGGCACAGTTTGTTTAGATCAAAAAACAGAACTAAAAAAATGAATAAAAACAAACCACTTGGCAACAGGGACACCACCACTATATTTTTCATATATAGGCCTAGGGTAAAAAAAACAAAAAACAAAAAACAAATCAGGACAAAATTATTGGTAAATATTGAGTTTTTTATTATTTTAAACCACAGCTATTTTAAATGTCATATTTAATATGTTCACAATTGTTTCCAGAGGGGGGGGCGACAGAACCCATTGCTTTTTCACACCGCGCCTGGGTTTCACAGACAAAAAAAGAAAAACACACAACGAAAGTAGTTTTGAAAACATACACATTTACACTAATCGTAGCTTTTCGAGGTCACTGTGCTGTGCTTTAGGGCAACAGAGCTTCAGCCTTCAACTCCTTCAGCTCATGAAAGCGACTTTTTCTCTTTTCCTTTTTTAGCAGAATGGGCTGTTACTAGAGGCCTGCACAGACATGAAATTTAAACTTGTATTTGCAACTTTGAGTGCTGACCTGACCGGCCCGACTGGTACTGCTAAATCTGAAATCCAATCCTGACCCGAACCTGCTCACACACACCAACAGACGGATAATTATAGACGTGGTTTCACAGGGCTTTGTTTTATTACTAAGCACTTTAGGGCAACTAACAATGATTTCCATATTTGAATAATGGGTTCATATGGCTTTGATTAATTGGGAAAAGTAGTCTGTCAATAACTAAATATATTTCATGTCATACACAACGTCTCTTTCAACAAATGTAAAAAATACAAGGATTATTACTGCTTTTGCACGATAATCTTTCAAAGCATTAAATACTTCCCTATCTTCTTCATCATTTTTTCAAGATCAACAATGCTACAACATGCCCTCAAAAACACTGTTTTACTCAATGAGTTTTACTCAAGGTGCAGAAACAATACAGGAACAACATATGAACAATCTTCCATGGCAGTATCCATACTATTACAGAGACAGTTTGATTCTACTCCGCATTGCTATTAACATGATTTCTCCTCCAATGTTAACGCAAAGACAAAATGAATTAGTCTGTGTGGTCGGTTAACATCATATAATCAAAACTGATATTACTGAGCAGAGACACAGCCATGTCTGACACACAGTGTCCTGAAGCATTAAAAAATATGTTCATGTGAAAATACTAAAAACAGTGTTTATAAAAGTTATCACAAGATCTGATTCCAGTGACCCAAAACACAGTTTTCATGCAGACAGGAGGCCAAAATGCAGAGAAAAAAGTACGCTTTCCAAAAATATCCATATCCGTGTGGATGAGCAGCTCTGTGTGCATTAGTGCACTATCAATGTATAATTCAGTTGTGCAGTTTACACAAAAACGCAGTTCATCCCATCAGCCAACAGTGCTCATTTTCATAAACCACTGAAAAGCAGACCACATACTTCTGATTACAGTTTTACTGCAGTTTACTCACAACAGTGAGCTTCTGTCATTTTCTGCTTTTCAAGTATTCAGCCTGCTGAATGCTTTTCTTTTATTGTCTCACTTTTGAAATATCTGCGTGACGTAGGCCATGCTTCTTCATGTAAATTATATGTTGGGGTGTGGCCATTGCAAAAGATGTGTAAATAAGGTAATCAATGAGCCAAAATTCACTGCACGTGCTGAAAATGAATTTCTGGCAGTTTTTAACAATATCCGACTCACATCATGCCAACATTATTTGCAAACACGTGACTCGTGAGGGAAGCAAAGTTAACACCATTCTAACTTTTAACACCATTAATGAGATAAAACACTTTAGAGTACATCATGCAACCGAGTACAGTGAATCATTACAGACAGACAGAAGTACAGACAGAATGACGTTATGTCAAAGACGCCCATATATTGTGTTGCAGAGATTAGCATGTTGCTGAAATTAGCATGCTAACCAGCTAGCTCCGACCCATCCTGTCTCGTAATACCACTATGTACCTCAAGAGGCGATAGAGAGTCAATATAGTGTTAAGTCTGCCTCAGTCCGACATGCCAAGATGAAGAAGCAGCACTGCCCCACGGGTGTATTCTAACCTCTTGTCAATCATATTGAAGGTACCACCCCCGGTTAAACCATGAAAGAGCGCTAGCTAATGAAAAGGACAGTAATGGCTGAAACTGTTGGCAAGCAACCATTATCACAACCGCCACCTGCCCCTGGCAAGAAACCATGTTCAACAGCAAAGAAAAGAAGTGACATAAACAGAAATAGAACGAGAGTTGTTCTGGTGTTTCTTGGATGCTTTGGTGTTGGTGTTGCTTTCCACCGCTGGAGACAGCTCTTGGCAAGTACAGAAATTGATGCTTAACTTGCAACGTTTCCTCTAGACTGGTAAAGAGGGAGGAGGAGTAAATAGGGAGGAGGAGGGATTGTGCTGCCCCCTATTTGTTTGGAGCGTGGAATATGAACTCAACAGGTTGCAGCACCTTATTGCTCCTTTAAGGTGTTTATACCAGTACACCACAAATAAACGCAGATAACGCAAACAATACATTGCAGAACAAACTAATTCCCTCAGCTCTCATGTAATGAGTTGCAATCCAAAGAAAGTTAGTCCACTGTCGAAGAAGCAGACATCAGAATGTAGTGAGTTAATGAATTAAAGATGGAAAAGACAGTGGAAGGAACAGCCAGTCTCTTGGGGTTAGCCATAAGCCATTAGCCAAGCATTGAGGCCTGCTAGGCCTAGCCCAGAGACATTAGAAAGGAGAAGATAGGTCACTGGAAAGCTCAAAACACTCAACATGGTGTCTGTTTACAGGGAAAGTCCCGTCCTTCCATAAAAAGAGCCAATCAGCTTGCTGGTAAAGCCACAAGTGGGAAAAGTTTATAAAGTACTAATGAGATGTTTGTCAGACTTTACCAGTGATTTAATTTCTGAAACAGTAATTTGGCCTTCACTTTTGGGTTCTTAGTTTTAGGTATCTAAAGATAGAAGCCTGGTATTGTATTGTATTGTATTTTGTACTGAAAAAAACTGCCCAGAGTTTTGGAGAGGACAGACTTTCCTATAAGGACTTTGGCACCTCCTACGGTACCCCTCGCTCAGCAAGCTGCCTCAGGCAACAATGTGGTCTCTTGGTCCCTGCTATGAGCCAAGAGGCACCGCAGCATCTCATATATAGCGGATAATGTGAGTGACTATAATATTTACCAAATTCCAGCAGTGTCTGATTCTGATTGATGTATGAGACAAATTACTTTAGAAATTTAGGTGCAAAATAATACTTTGCAAAAGAGAAGCTGCTGTGTGCATACTTCGAGATCTTCTTGAGCTTTTCTGTTTTTACCATATAGTTTTTACAAAATAGATTTACTTCAGTTGTTAAATATGGTTTTTATTAAAAGTGTAGCGACAGCCCAGAACAATGCGCTCCTGTTAATCTACAAAAATTGTTTTACTTAAGAATCCAACATGGTTGTATTTTAAAAAATGTACATAAATATACTATACTGCAATATATACCACAACTGTGAGAAATCTTAAATAACCGTGACAGATATTTTCTGCCATCTGCCCACTACTAATGAGTGTGTACGTCACAAAAAGCTGGACGGTCCATCTCTACGCAATTTAATTTAAAACCCCTGTCAACATGGTTTCAATTCAAATTTTTGTTTTAGTAGTAAAGATAAGCAGCCTTTACCAGTGTTATACTCAAGACATATATATAAATGAATACAATTCAATAGTAGATAAGTGCTCCAAAAATTCCAAGCTGCTGTCTGCTTTTAAAATGTGTGGGCGTGCCAGAACCCATAATGACTGACAGTAGCTTCTCCAAGGTAACACAAACTACCCAGCTCCAGTGGCAGGGTCGAGTGACTCCACCAAGTGATGTTGTTCAGCCCTCATAGCCTTTATAATAAGCACCATGAACAAATTTAGAAAAACTTAATTAACCTACTTTTTGGGGGGTATTGGCTGTAATTTCAAAAATCTCTCAACAGGAAACACCAACATCTTTCTTTCTTGGCCAGTTCACAGTAAAAACATCACAAAAATTAGATAATATTTAGGAAAAAAATCATGAAAATGAGTAGACAGGGGCTTTAAATTATTTTGATATGTGCTTCACAGAGTAATAACAATTCCATCCTCCTCCATTGCCCCCTGAGGCACCATGAGGCGTTGCCGAATGTCTGAGCGCAACATGCTCAGGATATCATGGGTGCTGGAGGTGCTCTGTCTGAATGCTGGGCTGCTTCTATAGTGATGCTGGTGGGTCATTTCTCGGTGTAGTGGGGTGCTGGGCTCAGGAGTGGCCATTAGATTGAGGCAGGGCTGTGAGTGGCAATAGGCTGGAGAGCAGTGGCGCCCGAGGCATCGGTAGCGATCATGAGCATTGGGGCGAGAAGACTGGGGTGATGTTGAAATATTGGAGCGCTGGGACAAGTGCTTAACACGTCTTTCAATAATCACATCTGAATCCTCGTCACTTTCATAGCCACTACTTGTCCAGACATGGGATCCCATAATCACGGGCAATCCTGGGTAACTTATTGAACCCTCACCTTCAAGAAGACGTCCTGGGCTTGGAGAGATATAACTGTGACTCCTTACGTTGTTGCGCTGGTTTGCTGGTTTCACAGTGATGATGAGGTTGTGGCTATTGGCAACCATCATGTCAGTCACTTGATCCAGAGACTTGCCCATCAAATCAATGCCATTGACCTCCAACACCTGGTCATTAATAGCCAGCAGTCCAGTACTCTCGGCTAGTCCGCCAGGAACCATCCTTGAGATGAAGATGCCTGGAACCTTCTCCAGACCGTGGGGAGTGACCCTGACTGTGGCTCCGTCACGGATATAGAAACCCAGAGGTCTTTCTGAGCCCTGGCTGTAGAGACGAACTCTTCGGTGGCACTCTGGTAGGATGTCCACGTCGATTATGGAGGAGACCGGGCGGAAATTCTGCGGCATGCCAATCTGAATGCATGGTCTTCTGCGGCCGATGTCGCCACGTGCCGTCGCTGTGGATTTCTTCCGCCTTATCACACTGTCTGTGCTGATGGTAGCCTGGTCAATTTCATCTGTAAAACATTAAATATTTAAAATGAGCCAAGGAGTCCTTTATTTACTGCAAATACCACTGCCCTATTTCTTTTCTATAACACATACATAATATTTATGCTAGAGATGCACCAATTTCTGGGCTGATACCAATATTCGATATTCTCCATGTTTGTATCTTCCAATGCCAAAACATTTATAAAATGTAGAAACTGGGACTACTTGGATTGGCATTTTAAAGAAATTTATCATTTGTGAGACATAGGGTTACAAGTACAAAGTACAATGAATAAAATGCAGACATCAAATATCACTTAGAAATATCGGTCACATTTAAACATCCCAATATTTATCTAAGCTATTATCTGCATACGCTGATATCATCATGCAACACTAATATACACACATATAATGCAAACGCAAATATCATATAATAATCAAAAAATTGCAGAAATGCCATACAGAAAGAAAAAGATACAGTTGTATGCAAAAGTTTGGCTGCCCCTTGTCAAATTGCGTTTTGTGTACGTATTAGTGAAAATTAGTAAACATATTCTTCACGGAGGACACACTTATGCACATTTTAATGCACAATTACTGTGTATTTGCTAATTTAACACTTTGGAAAAACAATTAAAGACAAAATCTAGCCTGTGCAAAATTTATGGCACATTTTATATTATATGCTTTGTTTTTTCCCGCATGTTAAACTCTGGCCTGAATTTTACTGAAAAAATGCCATATTTAAGTTTGCTTGCTGTAGAGGATTTGTTCATTTATTTTATTATGTCAACAACACATGTAATTGCACCGGGGGGGAGGGGGTTCACATGTTTCATATACTGTATGTCAGTATATGAAATGTCCAAAGATATGAATATTATGAATATATGTACATACATTTAAGCTGCGCAGTTCAGCTAAAAACATTATATCCTATTACTAACACTATTTCAGACATTATTGGGGAAAAATGAATCCAAATGCAATGTTTAGTGTCACTCCTTTTTCCCCTCTCTCTCTCTCTCTACATCTAAGATGTCAGAGCTTTTATTATACTATACTATTTTATTATACTATTTATTATACTATTATAATGGAAATTATTATGGAAATTAGTGACCCTCCTTCACTCACATGTTGGATTGAGGACATGCACGATTTTCTGAGCTTGGAAAAAATGTAATAATCTATAAAGCGCTCATCCAAGTTTTTGGACAAAGTATTTGGGAAAAACATCCTGAATTTTAATGTAATTTTATTGTAAACAATGTTTTTTTCCAAGTAATTTTGTGGACCATTTTCATTTGTCTGCTCATTCTGAAATTATCACACAATGAAAAGGGCGGCTGGGATTTTCAAGTTAAAAAAATATTAAAAAAAACAAACAAACAAACAACAAACAAACAAAAAAAAACTACCAAAAAAGTGTAGCAGTGAGATATTTATCCATCCATATATATTCTGTTTAAATGCAGTAGAATATAATTCAACTTAACACTAAACTCAGATTTTTGCAAGCTTTTGTATGCTCATTGATGTACTTTGTTAAATTGATACTGTATATCCATTAGTACTCATAATATGTCTTTAACCTCTTATTCTCCAGGGTATATTTTGGTTTGTCCATCTGAATTTACATGACCTAATCGTAAGGCAAATTATTCAGTAACTGCATGAAATAAATGTAAATTTTTATTTTATTTATTTATTTTTGTAAAAGCTCCCTTCAACATGTGTTTTATGATCATACACATATTGCTATATGCTTACAATTTACTGCTGAAAGCCAAAAATCTTAGACGCTCTTTGTATTTTTTTTACAAAAATCATTTTTACAGAGCAGATCACTGAAGAGACACTATCTGTTTATAGTTTATAGCCCAGATTTGTGGAAAAATGGGTCGACTTTCAGTAGACAAAAAAACTGTTCAGCTTCTTCTATTATAAGGGTTTAAAAATACATTACCCATTTATTTGACTGGAAAGAAGACAGTTACAGCTCTCATATGACACACACTTTTTGAGTGTAGCTTATGAAATATGAAAGTTATAAAGAATATGATGAAGTGCGTTTTGGAACCACCGGTGGTCTCAAGGAGTTGAAGAGGTTAAACTACACTTTTGCTTTTCCAATTATGTTTGTTTTAGGGAAGTTTGTGCTTCCCTAAAAAGGACTGAAAATTCTGTTTTACTGCACCTGTAGCTCCACCTCAGTCTGTGTTGAAATAGAGGACACTTGGTTCACTAATGCATAGAAATTGGCAGCAACTGTGCAAATGTTTACGCCCAAAACTGTGGTAGCAGGTGCTCTGGCCGGAACACAATGAACTCTGTCCAACCCACTCTTTTCTATCCTAAATTGTAGTGTTTTAGAAGAGAGCCAGGTTCTTTCTTTCTTCTCCTTCATCTGAGTTCTCAATTGAGAGTTACTCTGCATTGTTTAGGGCTTAGCAGAAGGCTAATGCATGGACACTGCTAATTTATGGGGACGGCTGTTTCTCTCCATCTCCTCCTCCTCCTCCCCCCTACAGTCATTACAGACTATGTCCCGCCTCCGCACACAATTGCTTTCCACCTCAGTAATGTGCATTCCTCAAATGCAGTGAGAGAGGGCAGTAGATGAGCAGAAACTCCAGGGTGGATGTACCAGAGCTGGTTTATAAAGAGCCTGGCCACTTCCTATTTCCCCCATTATGTCAAACACATGACTGCAAAATGCCAGAGGGCGCCCATGAGCGAGTCCTCAATGAATGGGAGTAAATGGAGCTCAACAGCTAAAAATGAAAAGTTAAAATAGTTTTTAATCACTTGCCCAGAATTTTCCTTTAATTTAAAAAAGTAGAAGGATGTATTTCACTAAAAAAGCCAAGAAAACGTACTTGTATGTTTCCTTTTTTTCTGCAGCAACCGGGTTTTGGGCAGTAGGGCACTGGCATTACTGCTACTGAGTGCTGATTGGTTGGCGGGCAGAGCAGCTCATTGGCTGTTTGCTCTTGCAGACATTATGGACGTACATGAAGTGCCGTTTTAAAATTTTTAAAAGCTTGAAAGCTTTTAAAAATATAACAGCAGTGTTAAATTGTTTTATGCTATTTATGCTATGCTATACATACTGATGTCTACAAAACTGGACAAACGTATGCTGCATAACTAAATATAGAAGCAGCACAGTGGAATCCAGAGTGTTTTCCCAGTCAAATGCAAGATAAAAAAAAAAAACTTGAAGCCTTTAGTAAACTGAACTCTGGTGTTTATGGAAAAGAAGCAAGCTGAACAATTATAAGAAAAAAAGCTAGCTGAACAACTTAAATTCATTTTTTTTTCACATGAAGCAGCTCATGGGACTGGCTTATATCTAATTAACTCACTAACTCACATTTAGCAGCCTGAAGGCTCTCCACAAGGGGGAGCTATTAGCACTCAAGTAGTTTTTGTGTGCATTATTGAAAGGGAAGAGACTGCCTGAACCCACACTGAGGAAGTCATAATCAAACTGCAAAGTATGTCCATGTTTAAATTTCTTTATTCATGTGAGAATGTCCCCTATACAGTCATATGCAAAAGTTTCTGCACCTCTGGTCAATTGATGTTTTGTTGATTTTCTAAGTGAAAATAAGTTAACACATCCTATACAGAGAACAACCTTCTGTACATTTTAATTTAGCATTAGTTTGACATAAATAAAACATAAAATGAAGTCTTGCAAAAGCCAGGCACATTTTATATTTTACAGTTTATATAAAAGTGAAAATATATAGAAATTTTGCACTACAATTTGCAGAAAATAATGTGTTAGTTTAGTTTCACTAAAAAAATCAACCAAAATCAAATGTTTCAATATGCTTGTACATTTCAATAGGTCTTAGTGGTAGAAAGTTCAATGTTTTATTCTTTTTATAGATTCCACATAATTTTAACAGAACTGAAAATAGCTTTGGAGAATGGATTAGGGCCGTAGAAAATAGCAAGCTGCTATGTGATCATCCCGATCATACAGTGGCAGAAAACACATTTGCAAGATCTACTTGAGATTCCTCAAGAACTTGATTTGTGGTAAGCAGGGGTCGACCGACTATTGGTCTGACCAATGATCGGAGCCAATATTCAGCATTTTTCCAGTTTTCAGAATCGTTGCTTGAACTTGCTTCCTTGTTGATAAAGCACTTTTTGTTAGGTATCTGATGCACCCACGATCAAAAAACACACTACTCGGCGGACCAAAACTGTTTCTTTAGTGGTTTTAATGCACTGGGAATATGTGCCTATGCAGACAAGCCTCCAGAAAGCAGTAAATTATTTGTAACCATAACTTATTGCTTTTAAATGTAATACATTTACAGTTCTATGTATTTGGTGTACTTTATACAGTTTTGGCCTGTATCTGGGCTTTCTTGCTTGCATCCATATACTGAAAAGACACGCTCTCTCCTGTATCTGTCTTATATAAAAAAGGTAGAAATATTTTTGTAAAATAGTTTAAAGTATTTGAGCCCTTTTTTTAGCTTCATTTTTCTTACAAATGTCATTCACTTTTAAATGTCACTGAGAGCTATTTACATTATTTATTTTTTATCTGTTTAAAGCAGGGGTGCACAACTCCAGCCCTAAGGGGACTTACCTGCTCCAACACCTGCTTCAACACATGATTACACTTATCTGTTAATTGTCAGGTTGAGTGGATGTGTTTAAGCAGGGAAACCTCCAAACTGTGCCGGACACCAGCCATCCAGGACCGGAGTTGTACACCCCTGTTTTAAAGATTACTTTAAAATGTTTTAAGTTACTATTTTTGCAAGCTGTATTGTCTAAAGCTCTAATTATTCATTTAATGTAAGTTGTGAGTATGAGTTGCATTCTTGTAAGTTTCACTCTACAAACATAAAATTTATGGTAAATGAATATCGGCCCCATATACTAGGTATATAAGTGTCCCTGATAACTAATAATCAGTATCGCTATTGACCAAACATATTGGTCGAGCCCTAGAGGAAAGTGTGCAATGATTTAGGCATGCAGTTTGAAAGATGCTAATGTTTGTGGTATAGGCTTCCTTTACTTAGCGTTGTAGCTTCAGTGCAAAACTAAAGAAGCAAACTTCAGACCCCGAACATGATTTGGCTGAACAACTACATTTGAGTTAAGAGAAAAAATGTATTACTTTGATTTTCTGTTTAACTATTAATTTAACACTTCGATTTAACAATTTGATTTGCTTGAGGATTGTCTCCCAGTTCCTAGCTGACCTCTTTAAAACAATATCAGCAGTCCATTTGAACATGGCCAGAAAAGTTCAGCATGCAAACAAACCCACCACAAGGGACCATGAAGCAATTACTCTCAAGTACACATAATTCCTGACTAGATAAATTGCTTCCTATTCCGGACAGAGGGCCGTGAGCAAAACTGCCCAACCTGATGGACGCACTGATAAACCGCCTGTATCATGCAGCAGTAAACAGGGAAAATACGGTACACTGTGGTGATACTTTCATTCCTAGTCAATAGTTAAATTTTTCTGCATATTCGAATCTGAATGAAAATGTGAAAATACTAGACAGAAATATTTTAAATCTGGATCACAGTGTATATGAGTTCAGGTATATCCATACTGTAAAACTGCAGTATATTCTCTCTCAATTATGGTAAAGAGTATTTTGGATAAGAAAGAACAGAATGGAATGAGCATAATAATGTGGTACATTTAATGGGAATTAACCCATTTTCCCTGTGATTTTATGCACAGTGGTATTATCCGTGACCCATTTAAACAGATTCAACATTAAATCTATTACAACTGCTTAAGGCAATTCAATTCTTTTATATGTGAGTCTTAAATTGATGCTTCAATTAGTTGGTTTTTAGTGGCTCAGTACATTCAGGGCTGTATGGACACTGTAATGGCATGTTTGTAGTACTTTAACAATATTTACATTCTTTTTTATTTCAAATAAGCAAGGTGTTCCAAGATATGGGCCCTTTCATAATGACATTCAACACTGATCAGTTTATATGATATCAGGGCATATTTTAAATTATCCCACTACTTTTTCTTACAGTAAGAAATTAGGCCTGATTGACACTTATTTTTAAGTATTTTGGCCATATAGTGTTTTTATATATATTTTCAAAAGAAGTCCAAAAGGGTTATTCAGTGTTTTTTTAATTGTTTAGTATTTTTTTAAATTAACTAATTAATTATTATGTAATAAATCTGACCACTAATATAATCGATAGTGACAGCTATCAATGCATTAGAACTGGCTGATTACCTTTCTGCTGAATGAAGATGCGCAGTAGCGACTGCGCAGTGGACACAGCCTTGCAGAAGTTTTCATCGTTATTGATGGGCAGCAGTTCTCCGTGGACATCTGCGTAGCTGATAAAAATTTCCATGTGACACAAGTGGTGTAGGCTCTGGAGAAGCTGGAGAAAGTCCTTAAAGATCCCAGGCTCACAGCGATCAAGAGAAAACCTCCTAAATTCTGCACCATACTTTAGGAGAAGAAAAAGAGGTAAAATCTTAACAGAACCTACACACTGATCACATCAAGTTCACTGTTATAAGCCACTGATTTTAGAACAGAAGCCAAATGTCTGGATAAGGGTTTTTTTATGTCAAGCCAGCAGTGATTTGTTTGACAAATTATTTCCAAAACATTGCCTCTGAATAGGTTTCAGTACCAGATGTGGCTGCTTACACTTCCTCAGTTAGTTGAAGGGCACCTATTTTTCTTGGATTTTTTCCCCCCGGTGAGGCCAGTTTCTGTGGTAATTTGCAATTTTGTCGTAATTCAATTTTACATTTTCTAGCCTCTCTTTGTCCCTTAGAGTTCAACATACTGTTTTTGTTACTGTGCCTTTAAGACTGATATATGTAAACGAGCTCTGTTCTGAATGCCCTGTATTGTTCCTTATTCAAAAAGCAATCTGAGCATAAACACTCCTTATAATGTCACTGTGAATGGACGGGGCTGCTGTAGGCCAAATAGGTGGATATATGTAAAGGTGTTGGCTTTCATGACATCACAAAAACAAAGAAATCAAAACTTAATTTCCATATATGAACTGTATGGAGTGTGGAGTAAACATTTTGAAACTTTAACAGTGTTTACATACCACAGCTATGATTATTTTCATTCTTTTATGATGGTTCAGCACCTGAACTGCTTAGTCTCTTTCACTTTCGAGCTTTAGCATTCTTTTCTTAAACCTAAGAGAAGAATGGCGCCTCACAAGCAACAGTTGCTACACTGATAGATACTGGATGTAGTAACAAGTTCAAGGAACTTCTTCTGGGAACTCAGTACCTGTTTTATTCCTATTCACCTCAGAAGCTACTTTCATATTCAGTATTCAGAGATACTTTAATTATTTCACTTAAGTAACCATATTTTTACTAAAGTATCAGTAGCTTCTCATTAATGCTAACTTAACAGATGCTAATTGTGAATTTCATTTGAGCGCTCGAGCTCGTGGTAGCTACTGAGGCAGATCACAGAGATATCAAACAAACATGTAGCAACGACATAAGGATAAAATGGCTCTTTCTACCGTAAACTTACCTTGCTTTTGACCTCGACGACTGTGCAGTAACGCAAAGACATTGATTTACTCAAACTCCGGATCATGTCCTCTGGTTTTCAGGCTCTACAGAGAGGACGGCGACGTTTGTGCTTCTTTCCTGTGTGAATAAACCACGACCAACAGGGGCTCCAGTTGAATGGACGGAAAACCCAGACTGAGGGTCTGTCAGTGGCGCTGAGGAGGAGCTCCAAACAATCACAATGGCATCACTTCCCCTGTTGTTAGCTTACACTGGAAATCCAAACTGCCTTTACCTTACATTGCTTATTCAAAGTCTCCTCTGAACTTTTACCCCTCATCCAACGGATGATTCAAAACAAGCCCGCCAAAAAGTGACTGATTACTATTAAAGTAATTCCTGCCAGGTAGAGGATAAAAATCACCTGTATTATTTCTGTTTCTCAAATTATTTTTTTTTATTTTTTCTCAAACTCATTGACGTGTTATGTCAAAATGATCTGTCAGTTATTTAACCTTTTATATCTTGGTTTTATGTATTTTATTGTTACCCTTCTTAGTAAAATCTTAATTGTTCCCTTATTTTTTTCCCCTTTTTTCATTGTTTTATGTGTGATTTTACTGTTAATCTGTTCATGCTGTTCTGTTCATATTAGTTTAAACTGATTAAGTTCCATATTATTTTATTTTCAATCCCTTTGCACGGTTAATGCTTGGCTGCATTGAAAATGAGGGTTTCCTTCAATGTAGTGAAAATAAAGGCGGATTGATTAATTAAAAATAATGTCTTATAATCCTGAAAGTCATTATTTTTTATATCAAGTCACAATTTTGAGTCCTATTTAGGAGAAAATATGGAATTATTTTGACCTAGTAAGTCATTGTTATGAGATACTATGCTGAAATTTTGACACAGGCCTACTGATGCTGGATACAAAGGAAGGAGAAAAACTTAACATTAATGCCCCCCCTTCATTTTCTTATTTATTTTCTATTTAACAGACTTTTTCATACATTGTTTTGTTGATATGTTCTATGTGGAAATAAGTTCACACAGGGATCAAACTTGAATATGGAATATTTCAGTGAATTTTGGGCACAGTGTCTGTTGGTTTTTGCTGAGTTTAACACACACACACATAATATAAATATAAATGAACATTTTGTGATGTACTTTTGCCCAATATGTTAAATTCAGTAAATAAACAGTAATTGTGCATTAAACGGTGCAGTAATGAGTTCTCTGTAATGTGAAACTTGTCCAGGGGTGCCCAAACTTTTAACATACCACTATAAATTATCTCTGTTCTGACTGGCTGCCCTGTATTGCGCTTTCAGGCTGAAACATTCCTTATGACTTCAAAATAAATGGGCGTTGCTAAAACTGCTGTAGGCTGATATGCAAAGGTATTGTTTTTTTGTGACATCACTAAGCCAATGAATTCAGTCCGACAGTTTGCAGTTTATATACGAGCTGAATGGACAATGTATGGTATTCTTTTGATACTGAAAGATTACAATGGAAGCCCATTTCTGCAAGGTAGATGATTAAAAAAAAAGCCCATATTTTTTCTCTTTGTCTGTTTCTCGACATAATGACGTTTCTTGAACTAGTAATTTATTATTTTAAAATTTTTTTCCTCAAACAAATAATATGTATCAAATAAAGTTATTATTTCAACATATGAAGTGACACTTTTGAGAAAGCCCTACATTAGAGAAGGTAATTATTTTGACAAATAAACTTATTAGAAATAAATGTTTTTGGATGTTTAACAAATTTATTGCTTACTCACTTATGCACAACACTTTTCTCAGAATTTCAAAACATCTTTTATTTATTACTTTTCTGTTCGTCACACCACAGGTCACCCACTGTGCGTTTATAAAATTCCCTTCTGTAAATCTGTAAGGAACTCAAACACATCCTAAACAATATTGAACCAATACTGCTATAAAATAAGTCGAACGGTTTCGTCTAATCAGCAGTCATGACATCGGGTCATATTAAATATATGGAGATAAATAAAATTTTATCAACAACAGTAGTAATGTGTAAAATTCTGAACAGGTGATTTTAACCATTATTGAAGATTCAAATACACATGTAACAGTAAGTAAAAAGCACTGATGTATAAATCCACTTTGACCTGTATTTAAACAAAAACAGCACAAAGACAAGATATGTAGCATCCAGGAAAGGCTGAGTCCTTTAAGAGCAAGGATGGGTCAAGGCTCACCGCTTTGCCAAAAATACTTCAGCAAAAAACCCAACAGTTTAAAAATTAAGTTCCTTCACTGTTACCCCGCATAGGGAATTCAGAGAAATCTTTGTGCGTAAAAGGCTAGGTTGAAAACCCAGTGCCCAAATGTTTGAAATAAGTGTATATTTCCAAAAAATAATAAAGCACATAAGATAAAACATCAAAAATTGTTTTTTTGTACCATTTTTAGCTTAATATAGGTCAAACCGAATTTCAGTCAGGACCATTTTGTCAAAGTAAATATTCTGGATGGATATATTTGCATTATAGACACTGTGACCAGGAAGTCAGTATGTTTTTAATGAACCATTTCACATCAAACCACTCTGAATGAACCATATTATATAGAAAGTTTATGAAAAAATCTAGTTTTTGCAATTTGCAATTTCTTTTGCAAAAGAATAAAGTCTGTAGTTAAATAACATCACAAGCACAAATGTCTGGACACTATGAATACTGTGTAAAGGGTTATGTTTTAATGCATTATGCATTAGGGTTTAATAAAGGCCTATAGGCTGTGTACTCTGTGTAGTTACCCAAAATTTTCATGAAAAAAAAAATTAAAAAGCCTAAGTAATGTACTGTATTTCACATAGCATTGTGATACATAACTGATTTCATGTAATTACCATACAGATTTATTGGTCTAGAGTTATCAAAGGATAATCAACTGTTTCTGAAGTTTCTCAAACCAGTGTTGATTTAAAGTAGCTCTGGAGGGAAGCACGATAGATGGGTGTGTTAAGTGTGAAGCCTGGCCTATATCTTCACTTCATTAGGAGGCTGTTCACCGTTCAGAGCGGCCACGGCATTGGTCACCATTCTCTCCACCATGACTTGGGTCGTCTCCACTGTGTGCGTCCCCATATGAGGCAGCACAATCACGTTTGGAAATGACAATAAGGGGTGGTCCCTGTAACAGTGCACATTACAATCAATGAAGGCAGATCTGTAGGGAATTGCATCACACACACACATTATCTAAGCTGCTACAAAAATATATAAATATATCTGACAGCTGATATGACACAATGACTGACTGTATTTAAGCATGCACTGAAATTTCTGGCAATGAAAACCCAGCCAAAAAAGACCAAAATTTACACTTTTTCTTTAGTCATAGGAGTAACAATGCCAAAAGATTTTGACCAAAACATTTACGCTTAGGCCTGTCACAATTATCATTATACAATTTAGGAGGTCCACAAACTTTTGATCAGTGTGTATATCGTCACTGTCATAAAAAATCGTAACTCCACTTATTTAACTGTTATTATTTTTTTATCCTGTTTGACAATATAGCTGCCCTTTACAATATGTGAGCATTTCATGACTATTGTGCCAATAGAAATGGTTTGGAATTACAGTGACAATCTTATATGCATAGGTCCATTTAAAAAAAAAAAACCCAACATGTGGTTGTTGGTTTTGGTGTTCCTTAATTTTGATTTGTCTTTTGGCTTTTTCACTTGGGTGCATCCCTAAATGAAACCAGACCGTACAAAGTGGTGTGTATGACGGTTTTAAATTTACCTGGGAAGCGGCTCGGGGTATGTCACATCTAAAGCTGCAGCTTTTATGATTTTCCTTTGGAGGGCATCTACTAATGCATCCTGGTCAACAACTAAACCTTGAACAGAAATACAGTATATTTTAAAATACAGTCATTACATTTATTTTGTATGTTCAAAGTTCACATTTAAGTTCTTCGTCTGAATTGATATTACCATGGAAAGACAAACACAGCTTTTCCACTGAATAACAGTTATATTTCATATTCTAGCTGGACTATATTTCATTTTCTAGCTGATTTTTTTTTTAGCTGATGTTTTTTTTTTAGACTGCCCAATGTCCATGGATTTTTTAACACATTTCCAAGTATCTCTAAAGTCATCAATCAAAATCCTAAAAAATAATATTTATTGAATAATAAATTGTTAAATATTTTCATGCATAATTGCCCAAAGAACTAAAAATGGCACAGGAGTGTCTCTAAACCTCAACACTCATTAGGAATGTGAAGATCTATCAATATGCGTGGTCTTGTATAAAGCTTGGGCCTCCTCGCTAATATAAAGCTAGTTTTTAGCGAACATGGCTGAACATAAGGCAAAAGTAGTTTAGGCTAACAGCTACATACTATAACCTGTGTTATGTCCTACAGCTCAACCAATCTAAGCTCTATAGCAGTGCCCCATGTTCTGTATAGTTTAGTGTTTTCCCTACTTTAACACACTTAAGCTAGCACGCAATGAACTTGTTAAATAGTTAATGAGACAAATTAAGTGTGTAAAACCCTTGCCCTGGGGTTTTACCTCTGCTGATGTTAATGAGGGTGCTGCTGGGTTTCATCATGGCCAGTTCTTTAGCCCCAATTAGTTTCTGTGTCTGAGGGGACAGATTGACCACCACCATGACAAAGTCTGATTTCTTCAGCAGCTCCTCCATCTTCTCACAGTACACAGCTCCCACTGCTTTCTCCTCCTCCTCTGTCCTGAATTCACAGGTATGAAATAAAACAAATAAACAACTAACTGACTCATCAATATGACTAATCAATATGGACAAGAAGGATATCTGTGTAATTTCCCCAAATTATAAAAGATAGCCTGATCTGAAACAATATTAGCTGTGAAGTAGACGTCAACACAACTACAGTTAGTTCCAACTGCATAATCTGACTGGTTGAGAAGTGTTCAACCCACACCATTATTTAAGATAACAGTGTGTTTTTTTCATAATAACTGTATTAATAAGCTAGTTATTAATAAGCACTGGTTACTAAGTAGCAACTTGCTTTATTCTGCAGCTAACCATAACATTTTTACTTTACCATATAAAAACACAAAGTGATTACATTCAATGATTACAATATTTGACCTGTAACTCATTTGGTCAGATTCTGAGGAAGAGTATGACTACAGCACTACATCAAATTCTGAACCCATTGTTGACCCTAAGCAAGCTTTTTTGGTTGTCAGCAGAACAACTGAACAAACTGGAATTAGCCAAAAACTACCAAAATATAATTCGCCAAACAAGATTTGATACATTCAGGTTATTTTGGCAAGTATTGAAAAGGCTGAGCTGAACCTTAACCACTCAAGGTTGTGCATTATTGTCATGATAGTATTCACAATAACACACTTCCTCTCTTGCTCTATTGCTTCACTGTTACACATCAGGTGCCACGCTGTGTCTATTATTTTTATTCTTTCATTAGTGTCAGGTGGGTCAGAACAAGGCTTTTTTTCTTACACTGAGGGGGCTCTGGGTTCAGCCCATCAGAAAGCTATTCATGCCACAATTTTTACTGTAAAACCTTCAGACACTGCAAATTCTTGGATCTTTACCTCAATCACTTAATGCTGCGCTGTAAGTTTTAAAGATTTAGAGACACCTCTGGTAGAAATTTGTTATTGCACACAACATGCAGAATATCATTTTGTAACACTATTGTGATTTGGACCCCTTCCCCAAGCAGATGAATCTGATGACTGTGAACACATTGAAAGAGTATTCAAAGAGAACTCAGTCAAAGCCTAGTGAATGACACACAGAAGGTAAGTAAAATATCTACTACTGTCATAACATCTTCATCAGTTTAATGTAGATTTTTAGAGCCAGACCTTCTTTTTGAGCTTGTTCGTGACATTAATATGTAAATATGTATGACGTCCAGAAAAAACACGCAAAATCCAACCCAATACCTCAAATTCAACTTGACTGGGGCAAAGCAGCTTGGTGTGAAGATGGCATGTCTGCATTACATAATTTCACATTCTTTTGCTTGGGCAACAATCGGCAGAAAGAGGAGTTTCAATCCAAAAAGATGTGAAGATGGCTTACTGATAAATCTAATCCGTACAAATGTCTGGCACTTTAGTCAATGTTCAAGCCAACATTCTCACCTTCGGTTCCTGTTGTGATAGAGGATCTTCATGTCAAAACCCTGGGCCCTTTTGGCAACCTTATATCCTATTCTTCCCATGCCAATAATCCCCAGGGTGGCACCACTAACATCGTTACCCAAAGAGCATTCCGATAAGCGCTCCGATTCATGGTACTTAGAAAAGTTATGGCCTGCAAGAAAAAAAACATACATAATTTATGAAATCTAAGTAATTAGGCAAAGCTAACATGAGAAAACTGTGAGATACTCACTACACTATTAAAAAAAGATGGTTCTTCAATGATTCTCTAATAAAGAGAATTGTTCCATATTCAGGGTGATTCAAAAAGATTCATCCGATTTCAAAGCACCATATTTTTTCCAACCGAGAGACGCCTAGGAACCAATCACATACCAATCGAAAGAGGGGGTCATAGAGTTTCACTGGACTGTCACTGGAAGATAGCTCACTTCAGTCTGCGAGGAGATGGAGACCATTTACAATTTACTGCATTGTTCTGTAATGTTTTACATGTGAAATAAATCATTTTGAAATCAGATGAATCTTTTTGAATCTCCCTGTAGAACCATGAACATTCAAAGAACCATTTGCATGCTTGAACAGTTCTTTGCATCATGAAACGGTTCTTTAGATTGATGCAGAACTTGCTGTTTACGGTTCTATATAGTACCTTTTTAAGAAAGATTCTTTAACACAAAAAAGGGTTCCTCTATTGTTATGAGCTTTACATTGTAACAATAGCAGAGCCCGTTTTGGTGCTTTATAGAACCCTTTCCAAAAAGGTTCTATATAAAACCATTTACAACAAGTTCTCCATTACATGTTTTCCATTAGTCTGAAAAACCATTTCATGATGTTGGTTTCCCAACTCAAACACACAAATGAGTGTCACTGTGTGTGTTTGAGCAGGTAAATCACCATAGTGTGTGGGACACTGGCCCCCTAAGACCAGAGTTGCGCACCCTTGGGCTAGAGGGTTCATTTACATATACCTTGAACAAGCTTCCTTGCAGATGCCAACATCAGGCCCATACCGATGTCCGCCGTGGCATTGTCGACGACATGAGGAGTGTTGCAAACCTTCACTCCAAAGCTGTTGATCAAAGGTATATCCAGGTGGTCCACTCCTACTCCACCATTCACAACAACTTTAAGTTTGGGCAAAGACTGTAGCAGACTGCGATCAACCTTTAAGGATCCACCCCACACAAAGATGGCCTGGATCTTGTCTGCAAAATGCTCCCTTTTCTGAGCAAATGTCTTATAGGAGATTATTGTGAAATGCTTCTCAATGCATGGTGCAAAACACTGGTAGATGCCCTCTTCTCCGATGACGGCCAGTATGCAGCGTTCCTCCATAGTCTGTGCAGATACAAGACAATTTTTCATTCTTTTCTTAGGAATGAAGTACCTTTTGGCCCAAAACGTGCATTTAATATGTTCATGTGGTCATGTTATGTAATATTCTGTAGCACAGCACTGCATCTTTTCACTCTCAAGATTATTGTGGCACCACTGTAGGAGGCAAGACGGTATGTATACAATGCAAGTAGCGATGGTTACATTTTTAATTTGGGCTGTAATGACCCTTTAAAGTCTGTGAAAAAAGGTCTTTTTCTGGAAAGACATTCATGGGCAAACCTAAACAGCAATAGTTCCACACATACAGTGTTCAAGCCAATCATAGCAGGACCCCAGAAAGAAATCGACTTAATATTTTGAATCAGTACAATCAAATAAATTATTCTGTTAGACATAACTTTGTTATGTCATTAAGTAGGACATTACTCCCTGCTAGAAAAAGCAGCATAGACCAACATGGCCTGGTCACCAGCAAAACCAGCATATTGCTGCTTTTGGAACAAAACCTTTTATCTCTAAAATTATCACTTTACATGAGAAGGAAAATACATGCTTTTTTCTTTTAATGTAAGTCAATTTAACCAGACTTTTTTCCAAGTAATTATGGTCCATTTCTTTTGGTCCATTCATCATGACATTTACACACAATATAAAGGGCAAATGGTATTTTCAAATTATCTCAGAAACTGAAATCCACATACAAGGTTTTGTTTGGACCACAGCATGCTGTGTTTTGGATGCTGGTTATCCGCAAAACCAGCATATGTCGTGTTTAGGATGCTGGTATGCTGGTCAACCAGTATGACTATGCTGGTTGACAAACTAAACCAGCAGCAGACCAGCATGGAATTCTAAAACACATTTATAACATATAACCATTTAATTACCTAATAAGGTGTTAAATCTGGTTTTATAAATCACATACATTTTCATCAAAACATACTCTGATGTGTTATCGGGTATCGGGTTATCATGAGTAACATTACTGTAAAAAGGGGTTAGCCCGTTTTAATACAATTATCACTCTGAATCCCACTTAAAGGTTATTCCAGCATGGCTATTCAAATAAATTTTGCTTAAGTCGGCCAAACTGTGCCCACAAGTGCCCCACAGATCTAGCCTAATAGCTGTTAGCTTTATGGAAAAGCACTGAAGTTAGTCCGTCCAGGGCCGTCTTGTCAGTGTGAATGACTCCAGTTCAGCCACGCTAGACAAGCCAGCTAATAGCACAGTCGTAAGGCGATACGAACATGCTACATGAACATTTTAACTTCAGAGTAAAGGGTTATGAAGCTTTGACGACCTTACCAGCTCTGTTACTTAGTCCTCCGAAGCCATGGAACTGAATTCTCTGGTGCACTCGATGTTTTATTCACACAGACATGGTTAATCAATCACCGTTTGGATTAAACTCAGGACTAAACTCAAAGGGCACCAAGGAAGGGTGTAAGTGACAAAAGCCACTAGTTAACAGAGCAGAACATAGGAACAAGCAGTTTCGACCAGTCTGCTGACATTTTCACAGCTCGTCTTTTCTGATTTCTGCTATTGCTTACACTTTCCTTTCAGCCGTAACAATTCAGAAGCGTGTATTGTCACAGATAGACACTAGATGGCGACAGAACTGCATGTGATTGTTGTACATGAGGACAAGCTGGTGGAGTGGTACCAGTCCGTCCAGTATTTTACCGTGTTGTGTGCAAATGTATCTGAGGCCAGAAGTGATTCATTTTATGAAAAAGATGTGTTAAAACTCTAACACGAGGTCCAAACTGAAATTTGGATGCTGGAATAGAGTAAAATATAAATGCTGCTGGTCCTAGCACTGGAACAGGAACTCTTGATTTAGTGTAGATGACGGATTCATATTGCCCATGTCTGGAAAGTTTTCTGACTTGAAACTGGTCACCAAGGAATCAGTTTCTCCACCAGCAGTATTGTCCAATGTGAAATTCAACAATACAAGGTGTTATCTATCTATCTGTCTATTTATCTATCTATCTATCTATTTAATTATGCTGATACTGACAGCTCTGTTCACCACAGAACAGGTTAATTTCTGACTAACAAAAGTTTTACAACTCTGAGGAAGCGAAGTCGAGCGGCTTGAAGACGGTTGGAGGGACGGAAACCCGAAATGCCGGAGCTGTAGCTAATGCTAGCTGGCGCCTCACTTCTAGCTAGCTAACCCAGCGAATAAGATCCAAACATCCCCAATACAGGTTCAGTTTGAATAACTTGCTCTGCTGTCACAAGTATAGACAATAAAAACTTCTAACAGTGAGAGCAAAGTCGACTGAATGGTGTTGGAGTGACAAATAGCCGAAATTAAACCTGTTCTTAAGTGTTTTAAGATAAGCCTGTTGGACTAAACTACTTTAGCGAACAATGCCACCCACTGCAATAACTTACAGGCTTGGTTCCAGCAAAGCGATGCTCTAAAAACACTTGTTTAGAAGATAAAGGTTCATATCTGAGAGTACAAATTTTATGTCTGGTGTTGAAGTGACAGAAAAATAAAAAATGAACTGTTCTGTGGTGCTTTAAACTGTACACTGCTGAGCTACCCTAATGCTAGCATAGCTAGCTGGCTACAGGTGCAACCATAGATACACATACCTGCAGGCCGCGTTGTCTGTTTTTCTCTATCTGAGGCGATACATCTGCGTGTCCGCCATGTTGGAGCGGTCAAGATCCGCTTGTGAACAAATTTACTTGTATTGAGAAGTGATGAGTTCTCAGTATTAAATCGGCCACAACTTCCTTACTACTCAACCGATTTTCACCAAATTTGTTTTGTTATAATTCTTAGACATAGAATAATCTAGATTACATGGACTGGTCTCGGTAGCTTTTATTTTTCTAATTACTATGATCATGCTAATTAGCCATCTGGAACAGCAGAAAAGTATTTAGTCTGCACTTGCCTTTACATACAGAGTTTACCGCAAGCTCCAGTAGAAACATAATTTCACAATCGGCAAATCCATCAATGTGTGAATCGCTTCTAATCTTAATACACATAAAAATAAAATAAACCCCCCAAAATACAGTAAGAAGGATGGAGCTGAAGATAGCTTCCTATTTGCCTGCTTCTTGTTCGAGTTTTACCGTTCCACCTTAAATGGTACAGCAGTCACTTTCTGGTGCCTGAAGCTGCACCATTTTAGCCATAACGGGAAAATTCGAACAAGAAGCTGGCAAATAAGAAGCTAACTGTAAGAAGGTGTTAACGTTAATCTATTATGAATATCTACATGGATTAAGAAACGCTTTAAATCACCTAGCTACAAAGCATTAACCATCATCCTAATAAATAACTACTTAACTAAAGATCCCCTGAACAAACATGAGTGTAGATCGCTACCTTTCCTCCATTATATAATCCTATCCCACTTTCTGAGTACAATATTCTTGAAATAGTAGAATTTTGGGCAGCATCTTTCTTATGTGGCAAGTGAACTAGAAGGCTCTCATTCACTGCCTGGGGGCGGGGCGGGTGTGGGGTGGCGTGGCGTGGCGTGGCGGGGGATTGGCATGCAGACTGCAGGTCACATAGCAACGATGCGTTATTCGAATTAATAAGCAGCGCAGTTGGTTTCCTGGCAAGATAAATCTGCAACGAGAGACTGTCACACACTAAACGGTTGCGAAGATGAAGTCAGCTTCTCTTTCGAATTTTCCCGTTCCACCTTATATGGTGCCGCTTTTACTATCGGCGCCTCAGTCAGAATTTAAGGTGGAACGGGAAAATCAGAACAATGCTGAGAGACATTTTACAATAAACTGCTCTAGTTTTGAGGAAAAGTTTTCTGGCGGAGATGGGAGCAAAGCGGCTATTAAAGCTTAAAGCAGAGCAAAGTAAATTTGCGCTCTCGTTTATATCGTTTGGGCCAATACTAGGACATACTGAGACATACTGGATATTAAATGTTGTGGCTCCCCAGGTCGTTTGATTTTTGCTGAAAGGACAAAATGGCTCTTCTTATCATTTGTGTTGTGACTCCTGATCTAACCTGGCTTTAATGCAGAGGGAGCCGGTCGGATTTCTCACTCATCCAGTTGTGTTTTTGTTATGTGCCGCCACAGACTGTCCGGGCGCTGCACTTCCGCACTTCCAAGTTCTGCCTTTTGCGTTCCGTCAACATTATGTTATAAATTAAATATTTAGAAAATCGATTTTTCACATTTGTGAATCGATTCAGAATCGTTCACGTCTGCATCGCGATGCATCTAAGAATCTATTTTTTCCCGCACCCCTAGTGTGTAGGCTGTTAGCAGTTAGCCACACTTTTGTGTTGTTTTCTTCAGTATTTCCTGGTTCTGATATAGCAGCTCAGCAGATGGAAAAAGAAACCGTTTGTGGTCTCACAAGTTCGCACCAGAATGGAACAGCACTGTAGGGCCCTGAAAACCATTTGGCTCTACAGTGGAAAAGAGGATGTTTGTACACCACACATCCTATCCGAAAGTTGTATACAACCACACCATTCCCGATCAGACCAAATACCCCAGGCTGTGTGCCTTTGTGTAGTTCCTTTGTGTAATTAAATCTTAATGAAAAAAATCAAATAGCCTAAGTAATATATCTTATTTCATTCTGTGATACATAAACAATTTATTGTAATTACCACGTAGTACAGATGAATTATAAGTCTTATAAAGTAATCAAAAGGTATGATGAACTGTTTCTAAAGTTTTCAACCTCAAAACAGTGTTGATTTGAAGTAGCTCTGGAGGGAAGCATGATAGATGGGCGTGGTGAGCGTCAGGCCTGGCCTATATCTTAACTTCGTTAGGAGGCTGTTCACCATTCAATGTAGCCAGGGCATTGATCACCATTGTCTCCACCTTCACCCGGGTCGTCTCCACTGTATGCGTCCCCATGTGAGGCAGCACTATCACGTTTGGAAATGACAGTAAGGGGTGGTCTCTGTAACAGTGCACATTATAATCAATGAAGACAGATCTGAAGTATGTTGTATCAAAATATATTAAAATATTTGACAAGTGATGTGATGTAGTGACGACTGAAACTAAATTTTGGCCAATACAAATTTTTAGCCAAAACCTGGGACTGGTGCTGCTACACCTTTAGAGGGCAGCTGTGAGTAATGTTTGTTTAGGCAGAATATAATATCTTTAGAAGTAAGATAGCTCATCAACCAATTTGGCTACTTCAGGCTTTTACTTGAATCATTGCATGCAAGACGATACAAAGACAATTAAATTGTTAATCACACTTATTTATGTGTAAATTGATCATCAGCTAAAATTTCATGATCGTGACAGGCCTAGTTAATCTGTTTCCTTCATTTTTAGATTGAGTAGACTTAAAACAAAGTATCAAAATCTAACATTTTATGGTAATGATATATAATGCAGAAAAAAACACTTTTATCTTTGATCGTCTGCACCTCTGAGTGCTAAGGTGCTCTAACTATTTTAAGCAGTGGTACAAAAAAGCCAATGTCTGATTGTTGCTTTCAGTTTTCTGCCCAGTGTGTCTTGAATTTTGTTTTTGAACGGAGGTTTAATAAATGTACCTTGGAAGTGGCTCTGGGTATGTCACATCTAAAGCTGCAGCTTTTATGATGTTCCTCTGGAGGGCATCTAGCAGCGCATCCTGGTCAACAACCAAACCTTGAACAGAAATACAGGGTCTTTACATTCAAAATTTAAGTTGAATTTTTGTGTTAAAAATGTTACTTCTGGACAGACATTGGTGTGGGAAGCCTTCTGTACCCCAAAATACACATAATAAACACAAAACAGCATAGCTTTCCTACTAAATGACAGTTACACTAAAACCCTGTTTGAGCTGGATGTTTACATCAGCATTATGGGACAGGCCCCACGCTTCCGAAACAACAACAGCAAAAAGGCTAACATAATACTAGTACAATGGATTCATTCAACTTACCAAATGCCACCCAACAAGACAGAAAATGCACTGCCTTTCAAGAGGTGCTTTTGAGTTTCCTTCTTTTTTTAATTCAGCCATCACCAAAAACGTGAATTTCAGTATTCTTCTCATGAACTTGAGGATTAATAAATTGGGTCAAATTAAACTCTATTTTAGCCGTTAGCTTTGTCTTCAGGTCACAAAAAAGAAAATAAAAGTAGGCACAGTTTTCTATGAAGCTTAAGTCAGCTTCTTATTCAAATAAACAAAAACAAAAAAAAAAACAAGTGAGGTGCCAGAACATAACTGCTGCACCATTTAAAGTGGTAGAGGAACAAGGAAGCTGGTGAATAGGAAGCCAACTTCAGCCTCGTCTTTTTATTATTACCCATTACTGAGATGTCGATTCGAGCAGGACTACTATTACTGAGGAAGCTCTGAGTTTGATGAATTATAGGAGGTAATTTGCTCTGGAATTATTACTTAGCAGACTTGAAAACAGACATGACAGATTCATATTGGAAAAAAATCACAGATCTCATTGATAATCACTCAATTACGGCACCTCCCCAGGTAAAACTAATACTGCTCAAATGGGGATTTGGAGACCTCTCTGGTGGAAATGTGTTGTTGCACTCAATGTGCGAAACAACACTTGGTAACATCAGTTGTGCTTTGGAATCTCTTCCCTGAGCGAATGAATGTGGCGTTTGCAATATGCCAAAAGAGTATTCAAAGAGAACTCAGTCAAAACGTGGTCAAGGATGTGTCTTGGATGAAAGGGAATTAACTACTATTGTCATCATATCTTCATCAGTATAATGTTGATTTTGCGTCTGAGACCTAAACATCAAACCTGACTACAGCCTGTGCGTGTGACGTTAAAGTGTAAAGACATATAACATGGTTCAAAAAACTCCCACGAAATTCAACTTAACACCTCTGACTTTTACATTTTTATTTTAGGTTTTACAGGGTGACTCACAGTAGGACCCTGGACTGCAGGTTTTAGCATGTTTTTCTTTTCTAAATTGGTCATGCTTCTTCTTTCAATAAATAAAAAAAAATATTACATTGTGATGCTTAAAAGTAACTGGACCTAAACTTCAAACACTTGTTACATTATAAGATGTAACTAAAAACTAAAAATATCATTAGCTAGGTCAGTATCACTGCTGTGCTGAGAATGGTCCAGCATCCAAAAAGCTTCAGGTCAGCAGTGGTCCTAGGGTGGTCCCTTCTTATTGATGGATATGGTAGAGGGGGGCTGATAAATTGTGCAGTAACAGATGGGCTACAGTTAGTAACTCTATACTGACAAAGTATATCAGCCTAAAAAAAGGCCTATGAGTGCAGGCGTAAAGTAGGTATATGTAATAAAGGCATGACAGATGAGACAAAAGATACTTTAACCGTACTATGGCCTATGGTATGCCCTGTAGTTAAACCATACTGTGCCCTATTGTATATTCTGTAATTAAACCATACTATGCCCTATGATTTGGCCTATAGTTCAACCATACTTTGCTCTCCTATGGTATGCCCTGTAGTTTAACCATACTACTCCCTATGATCTGTCCTATACTATGCCCTGTGGTAATGGTTTTACCATACTCTGGTCCCTTCTTATTAATAGACAAAGTGGGGCTGAAAAATTGTTTAGCAAAACAAATGGACTATAGTTTAATGATATTACACTCTATGATATGTCCTATAGTTTAAAGGGGACCTATTATGCGTATTTTTAACATCATAATTTATTTTTGGGGCCTACTAGAACAGATTTACATGTGTCAATATTCCAAAAACGCATTATTTTTCTCATAGTGTACATCTCTATTCACTGTGGCGTGTACTTTGAGCTTTGTTTGCAGACTGTTTACATGCACAAAAGCTATATAACACACTAAAGGAAATGGAAAACTGGATAATAGGTCCCCTCTACACATCCTTTGCCCTATGGAATGTCCTATACTTAAGTCCTATAGTTTAACCATACTCTGGTCTCTTCTTATTAATAGATAAAGTCAGTCCTGGGAAGACTGTGCTCTGCACAGTTCTGTGTCCTCCCTACTCTAACACACCAGACCAAGCATACGATGAGCATGTTAATTAGTTAAAGAGTTGAATAAGGTGTGGTAGATGAGCAAATGCACACAACAATGAGTGGTAACGCTTGCCATACGGTTTTTACCTCTGCTGATGTTAATGAGGGTGCTGCTGGGTTTCATCATGGCCAGTTCTTTAGCACCAATTAGTTTCTGCGTCTGTGGAGAAAGATTGACCACTAGCATGACAAAGTCTGATTTCTTCAGCAGCTCCTCCATCTTCTCACAGTACACAGCTCCTACTGCTTTCTCTTCCTCCTCTGTCCTGAAATCACAGGCGTCAAATAAACCAAATAAAGACATTAAAACAGCAAACAAATAAAAAAAACTTCACTAAAACATTCTTTGGGCTGTAATGTAAATTGTCACAGATCAATATGTACAATATAAATAGCTCTGTAATTTCCCCAAATTACAATATAAACTCCATTTGAAATTAGGGATGCATCAGTACCGATACTGGTATTGGGTATCGGCCCGATACCGTGCTCATTTACTCATACTCCTCCTCATAAAAATGCATCAATACCCGTTAGTACGTGTTATGTGATGTAAGCCAAGGGTTCGCTGGCATGCTAATGCATAAACGACTCAAGCTGGCAGTGACATTGTTTTTCTGACACTGTAAATAAATTTGCAAGGTATAAACATGAACACATTAATTTTTTTAAATTGTCTTTGTAAAATAGACTGTAGAGTGACTGTATTTTCTTACCAATGTACATTATACCTGGTTTTATTTTTCAGTGCACAGTGTGGTACAAGTTAGCAAAGTTCCTCAGTTTCTCAGCGTGTTTGCTCAGTATTCGGGTGTCCAGTGTGTTAATTTGACTAAAACTGCTTTTTTGAAAATTGTGTATAGACAGAGCTGTTTGTAAGGGCTGTGTTTCACATAGCATGTTAGTCAGTGTGAGAATACAAATTGTTGGCTTTGTCCATACACAGTGTCTATTCAAACATAGAACAAGAACAGTTGTTAGGGGGCCCTAAGCAACTAATTATTTTTCTTATTGGGTATGGCCAGCACTACATCAAATTCCCAACCTGTGGTTGCCCCTAAACAAGCTTTTTGGTCAGCAGCTGAGGGCAGAATGACTAAACAAACTGTAACTAGGCAGAAACAAACAATACAATTCACCAAACCAGATGGGCTGTGAATGTCTTATAGGCTGGCTGGAACAAAAACACATACAGGTTGAACTGGCAAATATTTAAAAAAAGCTGTGCTTTTTGGAGTCATGGAGTCATTTTGGAGTCTATCTGTAATGCAAAAAGCTATTACTTTTTGTGATGGAAGGAACTGCCCATATTAAAGCATATTTGGTGCAACTTTTGGGGCTTCTTTGATTTACCCTTTTATTTATTTTGCTGTACTGTTGTATTAAAACAATAGAACATTTAAGACATTGCGTCAAATGTGTGATAAGTTTGACTTATCACAAATAACATCTGTATCATATTTGCAATTTTTGTTATTCCGTTAGTGTCAGGCACTTCAGAACAAGGCTTTTCTTTTTTTATGAAGGGAGTTCTAGGTTCAGAAAGTCATTCACTTCACAATTATGACTATTAGACTGTAATACTTACAGACATTGCAAATTCAGGATCTAGATACTGGATAAAAAATGTAGGTTTTGTGGATTTGGAGACTGGAGACTTCTCTAGTAAGAAATGTATTTGCACGTATCTGATGATTGCGAACTCAGTCAAAACTTGGTGAATGACATGAATTTAAGTGAATTAGCTATTATCATGTCTTCATCAGTATAGTGTTAATTTTGCATGTCAGACCTATACATCAAGTATTGTGCATGTGAAGTTAACACGTGAAAACGTATGACATGGTCTGAAAAACTTCCGAAATCCAATCCGACACATCTAATTCAACTCAACTGTGGCTTAAGTTGCTGTAGCAGCAATGCACTATGGCATGAAGATGGAGTATCTGATTTCACATTCTTTTGCTTGAGCAACAATTGGCAGAAAGGGGAGTTTCAACTCAAGCTGATGTGAAGATGGCTTACTGATAAATCTAATCTGTACAAATGTCTGGCACTTTAGTCAATGTTCAAACCAACATTCTCACCTTCGATGCCTATTGTGATAGAGGATCTTCATGTCGAAACCCTGGGCCCTTTTGGCAACCTTATATCCTATTCTTCCCATGCCAATAATCCCCAGGGTGGCACCGCTAACATCGTTACCCAATAAAGACTCCAATAAGCTCTCTGATTCATGGTACTGTGAAAAGTTATGGCCTGCAAGGAAAAAACAGACATAATTCATGAAATTCATGAATCAATTAAGCAAAGTTGACAGGAATAATTAATGAGCATACTCACTACGGTTGCTACATTAAGGCCCATATCATGATAACAATAAACAAATGATATATTGTACCTTGAACAAGCTTCCTTGCAGATGCCAACATCAGGCCCATACCAATGTCCGCTGTGGCATTGTCCACAACATGAGGAGTGTTGCAAACCTTCACTCCAAAGCTGTTGATCAAAGGAATATCCAGGTGGTCCACCCCTACTCCACCATTCACAACAACTTTGAGTTTGGGCAAAGACTGTAGCAGACTGTGATCAACCTTTATGGACTGACCCAACACAAAGATGGCCTGGATCTTGTGGACCAAGAGCTCTCTTTCCTGAACAAATGTGTCAGAGTTGATTATTGTGAAATGCTTCTCAATGCATGATGCGAAACACTTGTAGATGCCCTCTTGTCCAATGGTGGCCAATATGCAGGGTTTCTCCTTTGTCTTTCCAGATACAAGACAACAAACACAATAAACAGTGTTTAAATGTTTAATTCTTTTCTCAGGAAAGGAGAAGTAATAAACACAGCCAGAAGCCATACAGGAGTGTCGTATTTTGGTATGCAGCTACACACAGGCCAGTCAATTGACTATTTTAAATAGGAACTTATTACTTTTTGGACTTATGTTATTTGTCATGTTGTTTAATATTGTGTAGCGCAGGATTACATCTTTTGGCCTAAGCAGTTTTACAGAATTCATGATTATATATCCTTTTTTTGCACGGTCTGGATTTATTCTCCATTAGCCAGCTAGCAGGGAATAAACATAAAATTATTTAAACAGCCCACCCTCATAAGTAGTTTTTCAAAACTTTGGCCATAATGGTCTGAAGTGACTCTTGTACCACCACTGTAGAAGAGATGGTGTGTTTATAACACATGAAGTGATGATTACAATTTTAATTGTGACGCTAGTCCCACTTTAAGATTTGTGAAAAAGGTCTTTCTCACTGGTAAGCTTAAACATCACCAGTTTAACATATACAGTGCTCAAAACAATTACAGCCTCTTTCTGCAGGCCCCCAGAAGGTAATCAACCCTTAATATTTTGAATCAGTATAATAAAATACATATTTTTCCCTCATAATTCTGTTGCCATATTCAGTTGGTTTTCTATGTGTGAAATGTTGTAACTTTGTACTGAGCTGCTAGCGACCAATGAAGGTTGAAATGGGTGAGGTGAGAATCCCCTGCTGTGAAAATAATTTAGGCCTCTCTACAAAGATGGCAATGCTGAGATAAACAACTGCAGCTTTCTTGAAATCAAATAACCATGTACAACTGCCACAGTAAAAAATACAATAAAAACACAATAAAAACACATACAATTGCTGTCTTTCATACAAAGACAAATCATTGGCTTCCACTTTTTTAAATCACACACATTTTTGACAAAATGTTTTTTCATATGTATTTTCAAATGGCTAGTTCAAAAGAGGAACCTCCTCAAAAACAGGTGGAAACTGCATGTTATGAATACTGTGACAGGTGGTCCCCTTTTAATGCAGTGATCATTCTGAATCCCACTTAAAGGTACTTTCCACATAGTTTTTCAAGTCAGCTTTGCTTAACTCGTCCAAACTGTGCCCATAAGTGCCCACAGACCTACTGTGAACACTGTTAGCATTTATAGGCACAGTTTTGCTTAACTCATCCAAACAATGCCCATAAGTGCCCAGAGGCCTGTTAGCTTTATGGAAATGCATGTTTTGTTATTTGGAGCTTTGTCACAGAGCATGTCTTGTCAGAAAAGTTCAGAAATGACAGCTAACAGCCCAGTTTTAACCCTCTTATTATGTTTGGGGTCAATTTAAGCCAATTCAGTGTTTAACATCGCTAAATAAATCTGCAAGAAAAAACAAAGTCAAAGTACCTCACACATAAACTTGGGTAACAATTTTAATTTAAATTTAAATTACTGAGTTCAAATTTGACCCATGGATAAAGATGTTATTACGTTTGAACATAACAGGAGGATTAAGGCAATGCAAGTACGCTAAATGAACATTTCATTTGAGAGCAAGGAGTTATGAAGCTCTGACGACCTTACCAGCTGTTTTACTTCGTCCTCCAAAACCACAGAACTGACCTGTCTGGTGTACTTAACAGTTGTGTTTGAAATAGCACACTGTGTACTGCATATTCCAGTATATACTGTATACTGCATGCTACTCTTCATCAATAGTATACTGTAAAGTATGCAGTATACGACACAAGCGGTACATCTTACTACAGAGCAGGAGCGCAACTAGACTGCCAATATCAGGCACTAAGCCAATCAGACTGATCTTAGGACCCACACCATTTTCTTCAGGCCTCCAATCACTACTTAGCAACTGCCGCTAGCCGCATTCCAGTGTGTGCTTTCATATTTTGGCTAAAAGATGTGCATGGCCCATACAAGACAGAGGGCAGGATGTTGTTTTCTAACCATCTTCAAAGCCAAAATTAAACTTTAAAAATCAGCTTTGTATTGGTCTGTGTGGTTCCAAAAACCTGTTTACCCCCTTGGTAACATGAGCTAGACTGAGTGAATGATAAGCAGTGTGACTGACATGAAAAGCTGATGCTGAGTGGACTGTTCAGCTGAGATCAAATATGTTAAGTAACTGTTTTAACTGCTTTATCTATGCAGTAATTATTAAACAGATGAAGTCAGCAAATCTACCTCAAGATTAGCAGAGAGTGCAGCAGCATTGGACAAATTTTTGCCTTTATCAATGTATAGAATGGCTGAATCCAGGGCTATTTAAAACATCCAGGCATTGGCATCAGTGGTTATGTCCTCCTGCTTTGCTGCTTTGCATTTTGTGATGCAGTGGTAGGCTATTTTAAAAACAGACAATATTTTATTCATACAGACATTAAAGATGCAATCATCAATTGACCAATTTTGAACCAGTGACTGGCCGATAAGTCTCATATATCAGATTCCAAGCCGGTCTAATGCTGCACGATGTATCACGCCGCACGACAGCAGCACAGACACCGCCACACACACAACATGTCATCAGTGTGGAAGTTCTTCAGAGCGAGTGAAGAAGACAACAAGCACGCGATTTGCAATTCCTGCAAGGCCAAAGTAAGCTGTGGAGGAACAAATCCAAAAACGACAACTCTATTCGGAACAACTAATTTAATATGACACTTAAAACACCACCACCCTGCTGAATATGCCCCTTTTGAAGAAGCTAGCAAAGGCAAAGAGGCTAAAAGTAAAGCTGGCAAGAGCGCAGAGCCAGCCACAAGCCACCAGCTTCTGCTATCTTTTTTCAGCAGGGAAGACCATAACCATTACGAGGAAAATCATGGAATTCTTAGCACTGGCTGACCAGACATTTTCAGCAGTCTAGGACAAAGTTTCAGAAATTTGATACATTACCTGAGCCCAACGTACACGACACCAAGTAGGCGATACTTTAATGTTGTGTGATTTCTGATTTCACTTTTCACTTTCACATCATGTTACTAGACTTGTTTAATAGATTCCAAAGCAGCAGTTAGTTTTACAACTGACATTTGGACATCTAAAGTAAGCTAAACTAACGTAAGCCAATCTAACAGCCACATTTGACGCAATGTTGCAATAGTGGGACATAGACAAGGCCAGTGTTCATATGGTGTTGCGAGACAACACTACAAATATGACCACAACACTCGATGAGGGCAACTTGGTGGGTTTGCCCTGCATTGCACACAAGCTACAGTATCCAGTGAATGAGGGTCGGCTGGCCTAACAAAGCATCACTGACGCAGTGGCAGTTTTAAACACTTACTGCTCACCTATTCGCGACTTCACGACATCCAGGCACAGTTGGGTCAGCTTAGGAAATGACTGCAGCAAGATGTTACTACAAGATGGGATAGCACCTATGCTGCAATCACTGATGGAGCCGAGACATGCTCTGGAAGCATATGCTGCAGAACTTGCGCTGCCGGCCACATTCAACACACACAAGTGGGGGTTTAATTGATAACATGCTGAGCCTCCTCACACCTTTTGAGGACCTCACAAAAGAAATCAGCTCCTCGATAGCAGCAGCTGCAGTTGTGCACTGAATAGCTTTTGAAGAGAGGAGTAGACACAGACCGTGGAGTGGGCACAGTAAAAACCACATTGATGGTGGTGGTTCAGAGAAGGTTCAGCAACATCGAAATGGAGCCGCTGTATATTTTGGCCACTTTACTTGATCCCAGGCAATTTATTAGCCCATTGCTACTACAATAACAATATTATATACATAAATAAAATATCATTATTATTGTTTTGGGTATTACTGTTCTTATAAAACAAATCAAACGAACACAGCCATATAGCTATAGGCTAATCATTAGTTTATGTCTGGCTATATCTGAAACATCATTCTGGCCAGACATGATAATCACCTCTGAAGTGACAAAACAACTGATCATGCTGGAACTCACAGTGCCCTGGGAAGAGTGTATTGAGGAAGCAAACGAGAGGAAACGCGCCAAATACCAGGAGCTGGAGGAAAAGTGCAAGGACAGAGGCTGGAAGGCATACTTCGAGCCTGCAGAGGTGGGCTGCAGAGGCTTTGCAGGACGGGGCATTACGGGGATGTCAAAGAAGAGGGTCATTCAATCCGCGAGTGAAGCCGCAGAGAAAGCCACCAGGTGGCTTTGGATTAAGAGGGCTGATCCTTGGGCAGTTGCTGCTGGTCTGATCAACCCCGGCTGGGTCGTCTGGGCGAGGGTGTCTGATGTTGAGAGACCCGAAACACCCGAGGATCCCAGGATACATCACTGATGATTCGTCCCAGCGCATCTACAAGATGTATCTTGCACGCACAAACACAATCATTTGACCTATCTTTCTTGTCTTTGTCTGTTTATGCGAAAGGTACAAGACTCGCTACTTCTCAGCAGAAGCTAACCCCTTAAATGGCCAAAGTTTTACTACACATTTCTATAGCCAAGAGTAACTCAGCTAGATTGCATGTCCATGCAGTTAATGAGTCTTAGTTAAGCCTTAGCATGTCATAAGCCTGGGGTTTTGAGGGATATCCAGTTAAATGGGTACTTCTGACTATGCTGGATGATCAATAAAGGATGATTGATCAATAAAGATCATTTCCTGCACTTGCTCCACTTACCTGGGCCTACCTCTCTGCCCCGTGTAGAAGCAGTGACCATGAACGCTTGTTTAGCCTGGCTGGACATGTGGTAGATGAGAGAAGAAACTGAGTAAAGCTATGGTAAACTACGGAAAAAGAGACTCATGGATACAGAAAAAATGACCTGTGGCTATAGCCCAACAGCCAGACAGTCAGACACTAAACACACTCCTGGGCTAGCTCCAGTTCTGGAGAGACAGCATTATAGTTACATTCAAGTAGATTGTATGCCTATACAAATCAGCCTACCTATCACCTGGTAGTATGCGTCAAGTCCCATAACACCACCCCTGCTTTTAATCCCTGGGTTACCCACTGTCTTGAAAAGATGTTTGTGGTGATGTTGTGGACTCACGTGACACTTGGTAGCTTCTGGTTGAAAAAATGTTTGTGTATGCTGTCAATTATAGTTCTTAGAAAGAAAGAAAGAAAGAAAGGGTAAAAATCGGAATCGACAGGTCAGAAAAACTGGAGATCTCAAGAAAATTCCCAAGAAAACTGTAATCGGCACACCTCTAACAGACATGGAAAATCTGCAGACATTTTTTTTACAATTCGTTTTTTCTAATTTCTGCAGTTATGCTTTCCATTCAGCCAAATGGATTCAGAAGCATGTAGTGTCTCAGATAGCCGCTAGATGGCGGTAGAACCGCATGTTTTTGTTGTCAGTGAGGACTGCCGGTGGAGTCGTACCAGTCCTTCCAGTTTTGCATACAACTTTGTTATATGCAAATATATGCGGGGGACTTCACTACTGGTTTAAGGATAGGGGGGCTAAGACTGTACTAGGGGCGTCGGGGGGCATGGTCCCAGGACAATTTTTTAATGGCATCAAAATGTCTCAAGTGCTGTCTCCTCTCTCTTAGATGAGCAGCAAGTACCTACATATATTATTCAAACGCAGAGATTATAGATCTGTCCAGTGTCAGTAGAAAGAGTGCTATTTTGCTATGTACACATGTCCAATAAGCTAGGTGACAACGTCATGGTCATCGTATCAAATATTTTCTCAGTTCTGTTTAATTCAGTATTAATTTTACTCTCTCTCTCGCTTTCTTCTTCATCACTTACCTCCATCAGATCCGCTCCTTCAGCTCTTTCGGTCTCCTTCAGCTTTTTTCTCTCCTTCTCTTCCTGTATTTAGTAATACATTATTCTGTTAAACTCAGTTTTACAAGAACTCAACGCATTAATGAGATATTAATCCTTTTTTCACGTTTTAACTGGTAAAAATATTTTCAGCTGACTGGCCTTCGACCTCCGCCTCTTAATTTCCCTCTACAGGTTGAGGAATTGAGGGATACAAAACATTACATGACCTTTTCACTGAATATAAGGCAAATATGTAAGCTTCCCAATACTGAGGAGAAATATAAAAACATAAAGAATATAACCTTATTTCTCTCTCTGTGTCTCTCGTTCATCCTCTCACTATAAAGAGAAGTTTAAATTAAACTAGTTGTCTTGTCAGCTAATGTTAGTGTCAGCCCAACCCATTTTCTTTGCCTCACCTCACGTAAACCCAAAATTAGTTTACCTAGATAACAATCATCCGATTAAAAACCCGATAACCAGCTTTACTGACCATAATTTGCCTCAAATCCATATTGAAGGTGGATAGTCACTCTGTAACTGCTTACCGTTCCGCTCTCTGTATATAAGAGATTTAGAATAAGGTTTAATGCTAATTTTAACGAGCTTTTGGCCAAAATCCTGTCTTCAGCTTCTGTGGTTGCCGAGTTAGCGCAGCAGCAGCGCCTCCCTCAGGTCGCGACCTGCTATCACAGTATAATGTGAATTCGGAGACTCGACGTCACGGTTGAATAAGGAAGAAAGATTGATAAAAAGATTCATTTCATGAAGAAGAGTTGCAGTGATTCTTTATGTTGATTACAACCGGACAGGAAGTAACATACACACTGCACATTTTATAACCCCTTTGACAGAACCTAAGAAACTGCACCAGAAGCTCGAACAGAGGGTCCAGACTGAAATTCTTAAGTATCAATATTAAGCAAGTGTAAAGTGTTGGATCGTGGAATGGAGTTACAGTTACTGCTGGGGGTCCAAGCACTGGATCAGTCTGATGGATTAATATTTTGCATGTCTGACTTCCAGATCACCAATTTTTCCACCAGTAATACTGTCCAATATGAGTTTCTACAATGCACGTTTTTATTAATTAATTAATGTATTATTTTTTCTTTGTCTTGACCCTGTCACACGACAGCGGTGTGCTGAGAGGGTGAAGGCTAGCATGTGCTTCTTCTGAGTCACATGAACACAACAGCACTAGACAGCTGAACACGCTTAGAGGAGGACACCAATGGCCAGTTCTGTTTTGTCAGCTTGTTAAACATTGGCTAGCATCGCACTGCTAGCATCACGCTGAGTGGTGCTTTGGCTGTCAACGCATTCAGAGAGAACAATGCTACTACTGCACATCACACAAACTCACACACACACACACACACATACATATATATATATATATATATATATATAATAGATCGATATATTTAGACTGATCAACCATAACATTAAAACCATCTCGTTGTTTCTGCTGTGTCTGATCCACTCATACCAGTGCAACACACACTAACACACCACCAGCACATCAGTGAAACTGCAGTGCTGAGAATGATCCACCACCCAAATAATACCTGCTCTGTGGTGGTCAAGTGGGGGTCCTGACCATTGAAGAACAGTGTAAAAGTGGGCTAACAAAGTATGAAACAAATGGACTACAGAGAAACAGATGGAGTACAGTCTGTAATTGTAGAACTACAAAGTGCACCTATAAGTAAGTGGAGCTGATGAAATGGATAACTGGATGCTTTAATGTAATTGCTGATGGGTGTATGTATGTATAGACGGTATATTGTCGGTCACAACAAAACATTTTATCTCCATTTCTATTGTTTCTTTTTTTAAACCTAATTTGGACTTATAATTCAAACTATGTTAACTTACATTGAAACACAGCTAATTTTACAGTGTTAAGAAGTGTTGATTTTTCAGAGCTAAAATTTTAGTGTTGATGAGATTTGATTCTGGAGCTGCTTTTACACCCAACATCTGATGTTATAGGGGAGTGTAAGCACACAGCAGATTTGCCAGTATTAAATCTACACTGTGAGTGTTAACCCCCTACATGGCAAGGACCTACTGGCAGGCCCAAAGTTTTATTACACACTTTTATAAATAAGAATAGCTCAGCCAGTTTGCATTGAAGGCCCTGTAGTTACTGAATAATAAGCTTTTGTATGTAATAGGCCTGGGATAGAATTTTTAAGGGTTTAAATTTAACTTTCTCATTTCTCATTTAAAGTTAAACTTTTGGTATTTTACACCACTGGCCATGTTAACACTTAAAGTACACCTAAAGTGGTGTAAAATACCAACACTTCATAAAGTGTAACTTAACTCAAACTGGTGTGGATCTATATTCACACTGAGAAAGTGTTAAATTTAACACTCACAGTGTAGATTTAACACTGGCAAATTTGACGTGAAATTAATGTATTATTAATTATGTTCCAACAACAATATTATACTGTGCATTTATTATTTATAATATGATACAGAATTTTTTATCATGTTTGCCAGACTCCATTCGACATGAAGATGTATCAGCACTAAAGAAGCAGAATGAATTCATGCTAATGGTTAATGTTCTGTTAGGGTAATGGGTCTCATGTTCCAGCTAACAAGTAGCTTGGAGGTTACTAACATCTAATTTACCAGAAAATTTGGCTTCAAATCAAGTGTCCACATATGTGGACACCATGTATGATAGGGTATTGCAGTATATACTGGTGCAGAGTGCAGTGTGCAGTGCACAGTATGCTATTTTGAGCACAGCCTATATCAGCATCATTCAGTGTAATGTTGCAGTATTGTTTACTGTGTGCATTTACAACATCCTGTAGGTGTGTGAAAAACCAAAGCATAATGTCAGCCAGCAGGTGGCTCAGAATGGCCTGCTTCAAAGTGCCGGAGCCTTGTGGTTTCAGCCTGAACATCCTGAGCCCATCCGGTCCTGCTGACAGAGCTAGCCAAGGTCCAAAACAATCACACTGAGCAACATTTCAGCTTCACTGATTGGAAATTGAGGATAAAGGACAAGTGACTTTTTGTAGGAAGGTAAACTATTTGTTCACAGCAGGGCAGCCAGAGGATTCCAAAACACATAGTGGTAATACATAGCAATCGCTATATGTTAGAGGATCAAGCATGTGTTACAGCAAGTACACTCTCAGAAAAAACTGTACCTGTCAGCATACCAGCAATGTCACTGTTGTGCAACCTTCAATGGAATGTCTTCAATACCTTTAGCCAAGGAACATAATTGTACCATATTTTGTTGCAGTTAATTGTTTGACTTCATACTTTTTAATTTTATTTTTCTACTTAAAATGTTAAGCCATAAAAGATACAAATATGCACCTTTCCCCTGGGAAAGTCAATGCAGCGTCCCTCATTTACAGGATAATTCTGCTGCTTTTTCAACATATACTAACATTCAATTACATACAAACATCAATTCAAGAAAAATAACAATATTTATCAAGGCATTGACTTAAAACTCTTATAATAGAAGCTAATGGGGAAATGCTGAAGCTTTGTACACTACATGGCCAAAAGTATGTGAACACATGACCATCACACCTATATGTATTTATTGGACATCCCATTCCAAAACCATGGGCATTAATATGGAGTGTCCCTTCCTTTGCGGATATCACACCCTTCACTCATCTGGGAAGACTTTTCACAAGAATTTAAAGTTTCTCTACAGCAATTTGTGTATTTGCAAGGTCAGTCACTGATGTTGGACGAGAAGGCCTGGCTCGCAAGCGACGTTTCCTTTCATCCCAAAAGTGTTCTGTGGGGTTGATGTCAGGGATCTGTACAGGTCACTGCAGTTCCTCCACACAAAACTCATTAAACTGTGTCTTTATGGACGTCACTGTATTGAGGGGCACAGTCATGCTTGAACAGGAAAAGCCTGTTTTCCACCGTTTCCACCACGTTGGAAGTATATAATTGTCTAAAATATCTTTCTATGCTGTAGTGTTAACATTACAATTCACTAGAAATGAGGGGCCTAGCCCAAGACCATTATCCCTCCTCCACCAAACATTACTGTTGGCACTAGGCTTTCTGGTATGTAGCGTTCTCCTGGCATTCGCCAAACCCAGATTCTTCGATCAGGCTGCCAGACAGTGAAGCATGATTCATCACTCCAGAGAACATGTTTGCACTGCTCCATAGTCCACTGGCAGCATACTTTGCACCACTCCAACTGACACTTGGCATTACACATAGTGATCTTAGGCTTGTGTGCAGCTGCTCACTGTAAAAGTGTAATTAATTTAGTAATAAAGATTAAAATTGTAAATGTCACACCAACCATCAAAAAAACATAGTGTTTCACTCACCAGGGAAACATCAGTCATTGTGTTCTGCTTACTGTAAGAGTAAAACACTTACTGAATGTGACATTAGAATTAAGCATTTTTGTCCACAGATATGCTCACTTGGGCTATTACAGTGATAACTCGGTAGGACGTACCCAAAGCAGGTATTGGATGGTAATTTTAAATACTGGGCTTCTTTAAGGAGAGGTTTGGAAATGGCTAAGCTAACACAGTGACAGACATGAAATCACAATTTATTGTATCAACTTTTATTTGTATTTATTTTAGTTAGTGTGTTTCCAAGCTTTACCCACTGCCCAGATAAAGCTTTAAATATCAGTTTCTCATAGCCTATGATTTTTTTATAGTACTGTATGTATACCATTGTTTCATATCATATATCCTAGAGGCTCTGCCAGGTACTCTCAGTGTGGTTTTCCTGTCCTTGGCACATCCTGACCCACGGCCTCTGCTGTAATGAAATGGGCGCTCATGCTACGATATGGCCCTGATACCTCTTTTGGTTTATTTTTAACTCTGTTCCAATTAAAGCAGCCCATCTGCCCCTGGGCCCGGGCTGAACGCTAATGTTCTCCTATGCCTGACTAGCAGCAGGGCAAAGAGTAGAACACGAGAAAGACAGGAGATAACCCTCCGCAAACAGAACTGTACTTTCTCAAAGCCCTGTGACAGCAACTTATTTAATCAGTAACAGCCTTGATGGTTTAAACTGACACTCCAACTTAAGCAGCATATCTGTGGAATAAAATGCTTAATTCTAATGTCACATTCAGTAAGTGTTTTACTCTTACAGTAAGCAGAACACAATGACTGATGTTTCCCTGGTGAGTGAAACACATTATGTTTTTTTAATTTGAGAACTTCAGAGCTTCTTATTATGTGGCTGAGTTGTGTCAAAAACTGGAAGAGGACACCAAGAAATTGGGATATCTCTTAGAATCTCTATATATTGGTCATTGTGTTAAACATGGTTATTTTGCATGTATGTAAATAATTTCTGCTGTAACTTGAAGTTGAGGGCTACTCCAAGTTCCTCAAACAGAAATAGGGATGCTATATATAATGCTATACCATCCTTCATATCAAGTACTAAAAAAGTCAGAGACCACCTATTATTAGGTCAAGTAGATGCTTGTCATTTGTCAGGTTTGGGAAAAAGCAGAAAACATACACTGACTGGCCATTAAGTACACTTCTTTGTATCCACACTCTTAGTCTATTTTATCAGCTGCACTTTGTAGTTGTACAATT